CGGGCAGAACTTCAAGGGACAGTTCTAACAATTTAACCTTTTTCAAGCGTATAAAAGCAACATATGGTATCAAGACAATGAGATGTCTGAAAAATTGGCAAAAGTGGAGATCGGACTTAGCCAAGACTAATGCGAAGAAATGGTTTTTAAGCGCGTGTAGGCTTCACCGGTTGATACCACTACATTTGAAGAACCAGTTCAAGACCAGTATACACTTCTACAGCAACATATGCCAGACTAAGAGTCAATCAGTCCTAGACATACTCAACAGAAAATGGCTCAACCTACTAATTGACGATATCCACATAAAACGTGGAGAGCTGTTTAGACTACTCAACAGACTTCGTCATCGGATTGACCATCTCGGCCTCCCGACAGAGACCTTGTGTAATTTTTATAGTTCGACAAACTCAAAGTGTGACTTCATCTACAACAATGCGCTACAGAGTGTGAAAAAGAAATTTGAAAGGCTAAGTGCTTCAAAATCTGTGAATACGCAATCCAGCACGGATAAAAAGAACTGGCTGATTAATCTCACAAAAACTGAGATCCCAGCAGAGGTAGCAGACATCTTGTCACGCGGTCCGAAATTCAACGTACCATCACAATGGTGTACGAGAAACGCCGTTGAAACCGTCAAAAACCTCGAGTCCTGTATCAGCGCAAACGACATACGCTGCACGGTTCTGGAAAACTTCAAGCGCACAGCTAGTAATAAGAATCATTTTAACAGATTTGACTACGAGACGCACATAAAAATGCGACAAGCACGATCCTTTCTCAAAAACAACAAACATTTATTTTTTACAAAAGCCGACAAAGGCAACGCCACAGTTTGCATGCAGGTAGACGATTATATAGAAAAAATGACGACACTCTTGAACGACGATGAGACCTATGAAAAAATCGACCGCGACCCATTTGAGAGTTTACAAACGAGGACGAAATTACTCTTGAAAGAAGTCAACGAAGAGTGTGACAGAAATCTTAGTGTTTTCCAGCTATCACTAAGTGACACATCTCTAGCGAGGGCATACGGCTTACCGAAGATTCATAAGAAGGACGTACCGCTACGTCCTATTATATCTTTGGTGGGTAGTCCAACGTATGTGCTCGCAAAGATTTTTTACGAAGAACTGTCACCTGTCGTCAAACCACCAGCTTCNATACACAACAGTCCTGAAGAGGCCGACAAAGTGGTCGGCGAAACGTCGACTAGGTGACGAGGTAGCGTGCGATTACGCACTCTCGTCCACCGTCTGTTTTAATAAATTTGACTTTGGCACCGCCTTTATAGCCGTTTTATTTATATTGACATTTACCAAAAAGGCGCAACAATTTTATCATAGAATGTATATACCTTGTATTCACAAGGCATGTACCAGATATATATATATATAACGAATATACCTTGTACAATGTACATACCTTGTAAATACAAGGTATTTATAATATATATACCTTGTAATATATATACCTTGTAAATATATAATAAATTTAGTTTTTTTTTTTTTGTAGTCATCGGTTTTCCAGATTTTTCGGGGAGGCCAGAACTTTTAGCACGAGACTCATTCAACGCGTAATATATAGAATATTATGAAACGGGTGTGGATGTGCTTTGTATATTAACAAGGGGTTGCAGCACGAGCCGAAGGTGAGGGACAGGTACCTAGCTGAGAGGCATACGCGACGCGAGTGGTCACGTGGAGTTAGCATTAGGGTTACAAATTGTAAATTAAAATTTACTCTTTCTCATTCAATTTTTTATAAAACTTATCAAATGTATACAAAAATGTATAAATTATAATAAATTTTCAACATTAAGAATCTAATGTTCAAATTAAAAAATAGCATAACAACATGGTCAGCATTTTTCATAATCGATGATAAAATTAAATTTCAACTTACTTAATAATTACATATTTATTAAAATAATACATAATTTTTTTGGTTCTTTGTTATATTTTTTCTTCATCATATACAAAAAAGGCTATATTTATTAAAATAAAAAGTTGTTAATTGTTTTATTGATTTTACATGGATTGATATCTAAAAATAATCAAACTAAATCTTTAATTTGAAAGAACTTATAATTTAATCTCCATAAAAGTATTTGATACAATATATACTAATTATATTCATAACATAACTGTATATCATGACGTTTTTTAACTGCAAAGGCCACTAGGATCAACTAAACCTCTAGCAATTAATTCAGCTGTTGCCAAATCGGACTTAGCACCGGTTGCTATGGACGAATTAACTACATTATGGGTTCCAAAGTGTGAACGCACATGAAGAATAAACTCTGTTTTATCAGTGAAATCCATTCGACACATCATACAGTGGTTTCTCTCTGAAGGATAAGGTTGCGATGATGTCATTGAAGCAGGAAAGTAAGCAGCCGCGTGCTCTGGGGGTCCACAGGTTTCTAGATGCGATCTAAAAAGTTAGTTTTTAGCATTATTTTTTTTATTAAATTGATGACTGCTATTTATACAATGATTTTGCATTGGACTCACAAGGAGACCACATGAGATGCGGGTCACCAAATGTCCTGAAAATTTTTTTCTGGTTTGCTGGTACCTAATAATGAAGCCCCCTATGCTTAGTTTGATCCAATGGGCCTTAGGGCCCATTTTAAAAATCATTCTCTTATTTATTGAAAAATCTTTGTGATTTTCTAACTCATAACAGGACATCTTAAACGAAAAATTGCATAATGCACAAGTCTTAGAATTAGTCAAAGAATACATTTGAATTTTTTCAGAATTTTTGAGACCTGCT